AACAACACAAGGTCTAACCCACGACCTTCACTCATGGCATCCTTCGCAATCAGCCATGCACTTTTGCCATTCACCCTCAATCCTCCAAAATCCTCCAAAACCGCCTGAAGGATTTTGGAGAATTGAGGAGGGTTAGGGTTAATACCCCTTAAAGCATTAGGTCATAAGGCCCTATTCACAATTAATGTAGTCTATTTTTAAACCTCCACAGTTACTAAACTACAGTGTTAATCCTTGGTCAAGAAAACATGAGTGCTTCGATCGACAGTAATTTTTGTAACCATACACCACAGCTTCTGAGACAAACATTTGAACCGTTAAGTGCAGATGCTAGATATTTCTTTTATTTTAATTTGTTACCATAGAACTCTAGCTGTTATGGTGTTCTTGGGGTCTGAGGTATTTGGTTCCTAAAGTAGTTTGTTTGCTTGGGTTTTTTCCCCTCAGATCTTTGGGGCTTATCTGTCTTGCCCATGGAGCACCCGTAACAGCTCAGACCTCAAGACTTCCTATTTTGGCAATGGGGAGACCTTCCTATTCTCCATCACACCATGGGAGCAGAGACACTCCTGGGTTGGGCTCAGTGACAGACAAGAGAAGGGTCCGGTGGACACAGCCAGCCAGTTGTTCATGCGGGGAACGAGAGAGTTGCTGTCCATTGGTGGAGGGTGAGTCTTTGCATTTGTTGGTCAATCTGTACTGTAAATTCAGGCAGTTTGGATTGAAATTTTAATGAAACAAGCCACAATGTGTGAACCATTATTGAGTAGAATTTTTGTTGATGTTGCTGCTGTGAGCTTAGCTGATGTCTTCTTTTTTTTTATTCTAGTGATGGTGAGGGATTGCATTTAGAGAGTGACATATCAAATGGCTGGAGTGAAACTTGCCGAACATTTGGCAACCAGCCCTTGGCCAGCAATCGTAACTTTCAGAGTGAGATCATAGAGGTGCTAGCATTCCATGACATGAGGAACACAGAAAACGAGGAGAGGGCAGCCACCCAAGCAGACACAGTGACAAAACCCCTGACAGAACCCATGAAACACAAAGACAGTGAGGATACAGCAGACATCGTGACAGCGCTAGAACCAGTAGCAGAGCTACTGAAAGATTCAGAAGTGGAACCTGCAGCAGAGGCAGTAGAAGAACCGTCAGCAGACCCAGTTGGGGAAGCCCAGAGAGAAACACAAGGGGAGCCAGCACAGCAAGCAGCGATAGTGGTAACTGATGAGCAACCCCCCTCTGGTGAAAGTGGGGAGTGAGGATAATTGCAGCCTGCTACAGCATACTAAGGAATGTGCCCCAGCGTTGACCTTTTCATAGGTGATGCCATGCTAAATGTTTGCAAACATTCCACAGTACGAGCAAGCCGATGAATGGGAAATTCAAGATGACCATACACCTATTTGCTGCAGCAACAAGGAAATATTTGATTTGCTTGGCATGTGATGAATTATCCAGTGCAATAACTCATGCTTCAAAAACATCAAATCCATATGCTGCTATTTTCATGCTTGTCTTTTTTGTTTGACTGAGCTCTGTGAAATAGCCAGTGTGAATGGGTACAATTGTTATGATCCATGCTGTCATTAAGAAATATCAACTTTAAGGCGGTCAGTCACCCTTTGACTTTAGGTCATCTGCATAATTAGAGTTACATGTAACAGTGTTTCAAGGCATACTGTACAAGGCATGTGTAAAAATGGCCTTTGTGCTAAATGAAGAACTGCATGGTGATTATATTTGTCGTGTTTGTAGCTACATGTAATGACGTCTTTGGCATGGATGTGATTGTACTCTGTGGGACTGTAAGCTCGGAAACAAACCTCATATTAACAGGAAGTCAGACATTATTATATCAGTATTTTCAGGCTTCCTGGGTAAAAGCGTTAGAAACATGAACGGTGTACAGAACACCAGGGTATACATCACCTCCAAGCATATTGTTTTGGAGTATTTCTACATCTTGGGCAAATGGTAGCCAAACATTCAGTAGAATCCTCTGGGGTTTATCATTTGGTTTCTGCTGGAGTTTACGTAAACATGACCTTTGGTACAAAGCTTCTCACTGATCATCTTTTGTTCCAGCTGTACTCTCAGGACTCAGCAGCACCGTTTTTCAGTTTCACCTCTCAAAACCTATCAGCACTTCGGATGAATTGACTTCAAAGGTTACGCTACCTGTAATAAAAGTGTTTAGTTTCGGGATTTTGAAGGGCCAAATGTCGAGTGCAAGGAAGTATTGCTTATAGAGTACTTGGTACGTTTGCTTCCTCTGACGGATGGAAAAAAGTAGTCCATACTGGCAACATGAAGGCTTTAGAATTGGAAATAGGGTAATACATGTACATACATTTACATGTTTGTACATGTATGTACATGTACATGTATGTTAATGTATGTACATATAATAGTGCTATTTTGGGGTGGTTCTTTGGCTGTTTTGGGGCACATGCTGTATACAATTATTTAATCAGCTAGACATTCAAGATTCAAATAACTTTATTATCCCTCCAGAGGAAATTGGGATGGCCTTCTGGATACAATATAAATACACCAAGAATACAAACTAAAAACCCATTAGTCTAAAAATGTAAAATACAAACCTACCAACACACCTGAGGAATATTGAGAACATGGTGTCTTTCATGTTTGGTCTGAAGGTGCATCTGTTCTCCCTGTACATTGTTGATATTTGATGGAACAAAGGAATGTGAAAAGTAGTACATTGTACTTGATGATGGCTGAAAACATCCTGACTTTTACAGTGTATGTACATTTGTATTGCGTAAACAGGTGTCCAAGGGAGCTGTTGAGGTTGTATGATCTCATTTTTATAGTAGGAAATATAAGTGATTTCAAATTCTTATAAATTGTACATACACCTGTTGGTTTTAATGGTTTCAGAAACTAGTGTTAATTATTTTTCTTTTTTCAGAGAGCAGTGGTCATGGTATGGCACGCGTACCTTGAGAGAGTTGTTACCTCATGTGGGTAGAGCATATCTTCAATTTTGTAATCAGAATTTTGTAGACGGAATTCCGTTAAGCATGCACATGCCTTGGAATGGGGCATTGTACACGTATTTTCATATTATATTGCACTACCCTGGCTTTCTGTCGAGGCATGCTGTGAACCACATATTATTTTTATTTTAATTTCTGGCAATGACACCAAGGTTTCCTCAACTGAGCACCTTAGGCACTGTAAGCTCACAATTAGTCTTGAAGAAATCTGTAGATATGAGACAGGGAGAAGCAGTTACAGTTTTAGAGGTGGGAGGAAAACCCCAGAGGAATATTCTGGGAAAAACCCACAGAATCAGGTAGGGACTGAAAACCCAATCCACGTGTGGACCGGGGCGGGAATTGAACCAGGGACTACAGAGATGGAAGGCAAGGAAAGAATTACTGCTTCAACCTGACCCCTGCACCGTATGGATAGTGAATGCGACAGTAGGGAGTGCTGTTGCCATGAAATTCACTTGTGCTGTTCTGTCCATTAATTAGTCAAACTTGTGTTGGACAATTGCAGGTATGGTTCCAATGGTGCACATGTACTCTGTACAACTGTATATTTGGAATGATTTCCAGGGGGACCAAAGTATTATTTATTTGTGTTAAAACTATTTCAAATGAAGTTTAGGTGTGTGATTTCATCATTATTTGCTGTTTTCAACAAAACCAAACCAACTCTGAGCAGAAAAGCCATTTTGTGCTTTGTAGAGTAGCAAGTAACAGTCAAGCATTTCTTGTGTGGTGGTTCGTATTACATGTACATGTATATGTGAGTTTGGAGATGCTTGATAATGGCCATGTTTCTTTGTATAAATCCCATAGCAATACAAATAAGTACATATACATGTACATTTTTTGTACCTTTTTTTTACTGAAGACATGCCAGTATGGGGCAGCGCTAACATCTGGGAGTTTCACAAAATGGCAACCACACCGTGCTGATGAAAACAACTGCAGTGAGCGCACGCGTACCTACTGATCAAAGAAAAGATTGTGTCACCTGATCCTCCAACTGGCTGGTACGTGCGTACGTCGTCATGGTTGCTGTTTGCACCGGTGCGGTACCTGCCATTTTGCGAGAATCCTGGATATCCACGCTGCCCCATACATGTATCAATGCACCAAAGGCTTATAAGACAAGAGTCTATTGATCACTTGGGCTGTTGGACATTCACATCATGATTCAAAGTCCTCAAAGGATTTGGTAATAGTTGTGTTGAAGTGGATTAGAAACTGAGATATAAGAACTGTTATGGAAAGTACCTGTAATTTTAATCCGTGTGTGAGGTGATATTGCCAACATGTTTGGGTATCATTAACTTTCTGCATGGATACCAGAACAAAGAGTCAAATTCATTGAATTGCTTCGTACACTGTACATGTACATGTGACATCTCACAAAATGAAATTGTGGTTAAAGTTAAGTCATAACTGGAAACCTGGCTTCCTTTTTTCTTGATGAAGACATGCAGATTCCCCAAGAGAGAGTCTGATATTCTGCTGGCATAACCCATATGCCATGAGAGTGCATGTTGGTTTCAAACTTGTACACGAATACATACTCCGAGTTCCAAGTTTGCATGAGTTTTGAATATGTTGACCCTGAAGACATACAGACAACAGATAGGCAGCCTTTCTTGCGTGTATATCAAGGCAGGGATACATACAGGTTCATGAGGCCCTGTGCAGACTCATATCAGGTTTTGATAGCTTGAAATTCGGCTGGATTAGAGTGACTAGTTAGTAACATGTTATGTCTTCGGAAGAAGTTTGCCAAATTCAGTGAAGTTCACAGAATTACATGTACCACTATAACTTTTAAAAAGTCCGGTCTCCTATACCTCATTGTTTTAGGAGCATTTTACATACATGTACATCATGCCTGAATGTGATGAATAGACATACGCGTATCAGAGAATAAGTCTGAGGAGTACAGTCGACACAGAATTTGGAACATTTCAGAATTTGTTCGGTGCAAATAAGTGCATGCATTTTAAGACTTGAAGGTTTTCATGGTGAAAGAAACTAGATGAGTAAAATGATAGCAGTTTCACCATGTCACTACATTTGTTGTCACCTTCTTGGTGCAACCACTATCATTTTACACATCTTGCATGCATTTTTCTCCCTCTAGTTTTCAGAGTTCTTTAATTTGATGGATGTCTTCTTGAAACTGTCTTCTTGGAATACAAAGGAAAGCCATCATACCATCAGTTGTACATGTACATGTATGGGATTGAGAGTTTTACATGTACCCTGACATTGTCAATTAATGGTTACTACCATTCTCTGCTGTTATTATGGCAAACTAATGATCAGATCAGCTCACTATATTTTTGTCACTTGTTGATAGATTTGGTTTATTCCATTCTTTGTGGTCTATGCTGATCATGTGCCCCTTAGTGAGCCAAGTAATTAATTATGGCAACTACATGTATCCTAGGTCAATTTAAAAAAGTAACAGTATTACATGGAAGGGTTCTGCACTCATGTAAATATATAGATGTATGCATCCATGTTAGTTTTGTGTCATAGGTTAACTATGCTATGCAAATGTAATGGAAGTGTGTTCATGTCAAAGCAATAAATAATATAGCAATGTTTAAAATTAGTATGGAAAGTAATAATTCACTGCAGCTTGCAATTTGCATCACTTGTTTGAATCAGCAGAAGTGTTTGTACAAGTATAACACATTTGAAAGTATTAAATATAGGTGTCATTGTAATGCTGTATACATGTAAGTATCGGGAAGGTTTTGGTTTGACTCCAAATTGGGATAAAAGAGGAACTTACTGGCTGCTTACGTTTCATCATTTCAGTTGAAATCTTGTGTTCACTGAATAAAAGAAAACTTATTTTTGCAAATTTATTTTTCTGGAGATTCGGTGGCTGTTTTGTACATGTAGGTTGTTGCATAATTACATATGGCTTGTCATGGTGAAGATTTTATTGTGTCAGTGATTTAGTTTTTGGAATTCAGTAATGAGCTTGCTTTAAGGCGCAACACAAAAGTGAAAGTCGAAGCAGAAGACTCACATGGGTGTTGTTCAGCACAGATGTAGGCTTGTGTGCCATACCACCAGTAATGTCTGAATAAGGAATATGCTTGTGTAGAATGAGACACATGGTGCCAGGGGTTTTGTCTTTCCCTTTTGGGAGGTAATTGTTTGTTATTGAAATTTATTTGTAATTTGTAACCTCTTGAAAACTAGAACATAGTGCCAAATTTGAAGGAGTCAAACGTGTACATGTGTATGTATATGTAATCGGTTCCATTCAAACATGCCATACATGTCATATGACCTGCATACACACATAAATGAGCTTGTGGAAAAGCATTTTCCTCTCAAATCTTTTTATATATATAAATTGTGGAAGTGAATTTCCTTTTGGAAAGGGCTCTGAATTACTTTTATCATTGTTTTTTGTCATGTTGAGGTTTCCCTTAATTCATTGTAATTCAGTATTGTATTTGTATATTTTTACCAGAAGTGTGGTGTCAGGCTGATCTTGCCTGAAAATTATGTGGATCTCTTGAAGAAAAAAAAAAGGTGGAAATAAGAATGCTGCAAAGCTGGTGTTCTCAGAGAAATGTAAGTTGATTTTACAGTCCAAACACAGTATTATTTTCACATGTTCCAGACAAGGCACTGGACGTGTTTTCCAAAGAAAGCTTAAGAACACTGTTGTCTTTGTATGTATGGCTAAAGATATTCGGTGGCATGTGGACCAGTGATGTGAGTTTGAGCTGTATGTACAAGGAAAATACTAAAAGTTGTGGAATACTGGTAACTATGGAAACTATTATGGGCTTACTCATGTAGCTGAATTAAAACACTACCACAATCAATTCAATATTGTGTAGAATTGTTTGGATTTTAATTGAAACTATTTAGGGGCTACATGTTCAAATGCAGTTATCTTACATTCAGGGCTACAAACCCTCATCAGTGAGTGTTGGTGCTCATGCACTGTACCCCCATACCCATGGGGAATCCTAACACAGATGAAATAAAATGGAGAACAAGTCACTTGCTCAACACTTCAATGTCCTGTCCTAAGCAATGAACACCTTCAAGCTCTTTTTCTGGTGAACAAATATGACCAAAAATAAGCTTCCAGTGCTGTAACTATACCAATGTATATATTCCAACGTTCATCTCTCAGTGTTGACGGCCCTCTACATATACATGTGCTGCACAATACAAATTTAACACGATTTATGGGTGGATAATAGATTTGAGCTCCCCAAGGTATTGAAATTGAAAAATTACTGGACGCTCCCTTGGACAACCACTGACAGGAAACCATATTGTCATTTCACCATACCTCAGACTTATTCAGGCGCGATTAAAATTTCAGGGAAAGGGAACAAGGGAAAGGCAGCAGGGTCATTCTATAAATTTGGGGTCCATTTTTTGTGTGTCCCTGTCACATCTGACAAAGAACCTTGCATGTTTGGAACACTGTCCTTAATTTCCAAGAGTGGTTAGGCAACTCAAAATACCTGCCAAACAAATGAATGCAGCCAAAACTCAACTTCAATTTTATTTCCATGTCAATATTCCCAGGTCAGGTGTAACAGGGACGCCAAAAATGTCACACTTTTGGAACCCAAATTTATAGAATGGCCCAGCAGGTACAATGTAATGTACTCGTGCCACCATCAGTTCATTGTTTAGTGTGCATATACATGTACATGTAGCACATACATGTAGCTAGGGTGGTGTTTATGTGTGTACTTCACCCATGAAACAGTTCAGTACTAGCACATACATGTATTTGACCTGTGTGCACACCTGGTGAACTGTAACAGCTAAAGTAGCAACTGGCACTGACATGATGAATGGATAAGATCATGAATATTTATGAGGTAGGATAAATAAGACTTGCAAGTTGAATTTGAAGAAAATCTGGTACAATGAGTTCTTTAAATTCGCGTGAACATAATTTGAATTCTCCATACTAAAGACACTGTTGCTATGTTATACCTTGTAATTCGGGGCAAGCTGTTGCTTTAACATGTTTAAGAGATGCCTCGCACCAACCAATACACTCTTTTCAATGGATAAAAATGGGCACAAAGGAACCAGTCCATTCCAGATATGGCAGTCACTGTGCCAAAGCTTTCCCCCATCATAAGGTAAATCATGTACATAACAACAGTGTTTTTAGTCTGGGGAATTCAAATTAATTAATATGCACTCAGACAGCTTAATGTACCAGATTTTATTCAAATTTAACTCTCAAAAGGCTTATTAAAATAGGACATTTTGGTTAATGCTTAATACCTGTCCTGCATATATGTAAATAAGGGCATTGGTTGCAGAAGAAAGTGTCATCCACATCAGACAGTTTCACTGAACTCTGTAGGAACACACATGCAAATTTAGCACACACTCTGCCTCTACACATGGACTCATCCCATGTCCAAATCCCCTCCTTCCCAACATACATGTATTTAAGTACCATTTCCACAGACGTAGGTAAATCATGTCATGCTACAATTCCCTTTGGCTATCTCAAACAACTCCATCTCCTTACAAGATGGCCTTTCAAAATACTGCCTTCTATTGCCAATTCATCGGTGAATTTTTTTCAGTAGCCCAATTCCCATCTCATGAAAAATGTAGATACACTCTCCTGGAATTCTGCACACAACATGAAATGGGTATGGTTATGATTACAGGGTTGACAAGATCAGGAAGGTAAGCTGGGAGGAAGTTGGGGCAACATCTGATGTACTGTACTTTACGTGTATAAAAGTGCTTTAGGCATTCCCATGTCGCGAGAGGTTAGTACTGACCAAATGTTTCAATTATGAATTGATTTGGGAAATGGACTGCTCTACAAAAAGTGAAAAGCACATAACAATACTGTAAAAAACCCATCATTTAATAAACAGAATGGGCTCTATGTACACAAAATGAAAATAGCATACATGTTCAATGTAGGTTGATTTGAATGTAGGCAATGTCTTGTTAAGAAGATCATGAGATTGACGTTAACGTCTGTATTCCATCCCCTAAACTCCCATGCAAAGCTATCTTTGCAATAAGGTACCACAAATGTTTGTGCCACATTACATATGGTTTATAATTTCTTCAACTGAAACACAATGTTCGAGCAAACCTTTTCAGGAAATATTCTCTACAGAAGAATTCAAGTAGATAAAACCACTTATAATTAGCATTAATGGTTGATATCACCTACAGGTGTGTGTTTCGTATACAAATGATTTTCCTAGTGCACACGCTACTATATGATATGTTCCTTTCTTTAACCACGTTCTGTAAGGGGAACTGTGAGATTTTTGTTCATGAGAAATTTATGGAAAGCCAAGGATTCTTACATGTTGCTCAAAAAAGCTTTTCCTTCATGTCCCGACAGAAATCCTGGATACCTAATGTGGCACCACTGTTCACAAGTCTCTAATTCCAACATCAGCCCAAATCCCGTAGATTAGAAATGTTTTCCATTGCCATGGTGATGACCTGTCCTGCTACCTCTTGACTGGAATGCTAAGTAGATTCTCCAGATGCTCAATTTCTTCTAGTACTGATTCTTCAGTCTTGAGTTTGGTAAGCTGCCAACAAGAGCCCACAAAAATTTCTCTTGGTTTTTCGTTGAACCGGAAATAATAAATCACATGGAAAATGATGGATATTTTAAAATTTGAAATGGCTCTAAACATTAAGACCTGTAAGAGCAAAGAAAATGCAGGTGTGTTCAGGCGTAAACAAATGTACATGTACAAGTTTTTGTGAACATGCCTTTTGTCTGACTAGCAGCAAGACAGTTCAAAGAAGATGACTTCCAAAATGCTGAATAAAATTGCATATGAAATTAATGCACTAAGTTTACATTTTTGATAAGGGAATGAAAGTGTGACGGGGTGGTTTTCAACTCGTACACTGAAAACAACATAGCGACGTGGGAAGACAGTGGACTGAACCAAAGGTGACGTTGTTATCATTACCTGACCCTGAGCTGGTTGTAAAAGACATCACACTTCTATTCCCATTCATGAACATTCCAATCCTGTGCTTTGAGGAGCATTCCTTATGTTGGGAAATTTGAATGGTCTTGACTTGACTTCTCTGACTGGAAATGCCTCTGAAGCCCGTTTGTTTGCCATTTCTTTTACTCAGATTTCAGAAGAGTGGCAAGTTGCATGTTTGGTCAGCATAGTGGTATTTGGGTCCCCTTCATATTCTGTGACCCAGGTTCAAATCCCACCCAGGCTAGCATGTGACATGGATTTTCAGTCCCTGTGGGGTTCGATTTTCAGAATGTTTATTTGAGATTTTCCTCCCATTGCTAACACTGAACATTCCTTTTCTGTCTTCTAGCAAGTTTCTTCAGACCTTTTTGAAGTGCCTTTACATGTAGTTTCAATCACCAGAAATAAAAAAAGTCACTCTTGTTTTTTGGGCTTTAAGTCTTCAATATTTACACTTCGTAAACCAATGGGATCTGTCCATGTTTTCATCCACGTACATGTATGTATGTGTTACAATGCCAAACCAAGTAACCCTTCAAAGAACACTCTTCCTGCTGCATATAAAACATGACAAACATACTTAAAATTCTCTGGATCCAGTAATAATACGCATATATGATCTCAGACCTGCTGAGCATATGCAAATTACTATGACCTGTGTAACATGACCTCTGAACTGAGGTGAACCAGATAAAACCTCTGACCTGGTTAGCCTCTAGTGTCTCTCCTTGCTCCAGTTTCTTCTTGAGACTCTGAATCTGGTCCAGCTTCTTACGCAGTGTCTTGAGTTTCCTCTCCTCGGAGCCGAGAGTGGAGATGGCTGACGCTCCATCTAGCCTGACAGAGGCAGTGGATGATGACAGTGATGATGCGGGAGTTGTCAATCTCTCTTGTACCTGAGTCAGGGCCTCTCGGCTGCCTTCATCCTCTGCAGATATATTTGGCCTGGAAATATATTTTCACATACAGTAGACATGATACTATGACAAGCATCTGCAGAAGAATTCTCGGCATAAATTGGTATTGGTTGCTTGAGAAATCAACTCACTGCCAAGCTGGAGGCAGGTGCCACAATTTCTATGCCAACAAACTCAAGCCGATATCCATGTGAACTTTGCATTACACAAGAACCCATGTAAATGCATACATGCACTGTGTCACACAGGAGCTGTGATGAGTAAACTACACATTCAGACATCTACAGGCAATCACATACTGACTACAGTACAACGGAAGGTTGTGGCAGTAATCGGATGTACATGTATTATACCAAACCAAATTCACACGAACTCCGACTCAACTTTGGTATCTTTTTTGTAACTACTGGGGTATTTGAAACCTCCAACAACCACTCTGAAAGGGAAGAACTATTTGTATTTTAGTACCAAATTCACAATACACACAACATACCAAACCAAACAAGAATCCTCCACACTCTACCTCTCAAAAAATGGTCACAAATCAAAAGAATTCTTTGCTTTGAGCACAGCAACAAACAATGTCTTCAGGTGAGATTGTGGTTAGTAGTACTTTGAAAATGCAAATACAACATACATTTGTTTCTTGTTTTCACACAATGACAGTCAATCAAGCTTACTTGTAACCAGCTGCCAGGTCTTGAGTTATCCAGAGCTGTTGCCTGAGCTTGTTGGCTAAGTCATGATTCTGGGATAACAAAAAGAATTCTGACATTAAAATCCTGACCTGCATGTACATGTACTATGGTTGGAACCTTCCTTAATTCTCTAAAATCCATTGCTTATTGTACTCAAGGACGCATGCTTTTTATTCACTCTCAAAAGGCATCCACAATCCCGGACAAAATTGTTGGGACATTTGGCAATAGCCGTACGCTCTCCAGCCCTCTCCCCTACAGCCCCGGTCAATGGTGTCAAGTCCAGCCGGAGCGTAGACCACACGCATGGACTCAACACTAAAAAGGGGTCTTGGAGCAGGAGGCCCAAAAGACTTGTCCAGGATTGTCTGAATTGGTTCATAGTTGTGTACATGTACGTGCATACCATGCCGTTCAGGTGGTGTGTTGTGTAGCGTTTTCAGAACACACAGGTTGAAAATGTGCAGATACATCATGACTGCATCGTACAATTAAAAAAGGGAATATCAATATCTATTTTTGTATTGTGTAACCACAACAAAGTTTGATACTGGGGTAGGCAAGTCCTATGAGAAAAACAATCTCAAGGCATTTTTAGGGGTGCGATTTCAAGGCATGATGTTTGCATTGCAAAGCATATGTTTGTTGGAATGCATCATACGGGATGCACCATGGCATTTCGTGGAATATCTGTACAAAAAAGATTTCTTTGGAAACATGAACTGTCCATTTAGGACTGGACACACCATAAAATCATGTAGCATTTCTGATTTTTAGTTATTCAATCACTTTGTCAAGAAATTCAACGATGATCCATGAGAATCGTAAAAAAAGAAGAGAAAGGAAGAGACTCAGGTTCTTTAATGATGTGTTGTGGGTCGCCGTTTGCAACGTGCCTAGTATGTATTGCGTGCACACCTTTATTTTAGAGTATGCTACGCACTCGGTAGAGTGAGGGTAGAGATAATTATGCAATCATGACAATGCTTGTGATGTTTTCAGGGTAAATTAAGTGCATTTGATGCTTTTTTCTTGATAGTGTTAATTCCAATCAGCCAGTGCCGGAATTTTTTCATACACTCTAGGTAACTAGACCCTCCCCACACACATAAACAGGCATGCGTAAACCCAGACAATCCTGGACAAAATTGTTGGGACACATGGCAATAGCCACACACTCTCCAGCCACCTCCCCCACTCCCTTGGTCAATGTTGTCATGTCAAGCCGGAGTGCAAACTGCATGTACAGACCCAATATTGAAAGGGGATCTGGGGGTTGGAGACCCAACAAGATTTGTCAAGGATTGTAGCCCAATGAACATGTAGAAGTAAATAGCTCCTTAGCATTCACATGCATCTCAGAGAGTCCTTTGTAGTCCACCTCTTTTGATGTCAGGCCACGTCCAAATTTGGTATCTTGTTCATGGACTTTCTTTATACCCTCAGTCCCCACTCATCATCCTGGGATGCCAAGACATTATGCAAATATGAATTATGTGCACATACTGCTGAAAATCAGCCCAAAATGAAAATCAGACAAGTATATACATGTACATGTAAAAGGCCATGTTCAGGTACATTTACATGTGCATACACATAATTTCTTGCAATGAGTCCTCATTTTCTCTTGTATTTTACCAACCTTCTCTGCCTTTGCCTGGGCCAGCTGATCTCTGAGCTCTTTGACAGGGTCTTGTTTTGTCACTGTTGGAGCAGCAGCACCACCAATGGATTCCTCAACCACAAATCCTTTGCCTTCCTGTTTCTTGGTAGCTCGTTTCTGGTTCTTCTTATGGGCTCTTGACATTGTTGGTTTTGGAAATACATGTATATACACGCTGGACCTAAAATATCAAATTCATTAACTACATGTATATGTGGTCAAGTTATTTTCACAAACAAACAGTGGACAGTAATAAGTCGTACTGGATGTTAATGTCGATGCACATGAAGGTCATGGGTCAAGTTCAACCATGACTTCAATGAAAATGCCACACACTGTAGTAATGCTGGGGTACCATATGTATCTTAAGTGCTGTGGGTTTAGTGGTATTTGACCCTGGGATTGAGCCCCCAAGGCACCAGCAATGCATAACCTGATAACCTGTCATGCCTGTATTTGTCACTTTGTAGGGTTTTTGTTAAGGCTGGTTCGCATTTCAGACATGTGAAAGCAAAACAAATTTGACATTATGACAAATTTCACTCGAACTGAGATGTGATCAACTCGTTTTACAAATCTGCAATGTGAATATTTGATCCAATGTCACAAATTCACATTCATTTTTGCTTTCGCATGGAGTATGAACCTGCCTTTATTTTTCATTTAGGGGGAACAGTGACCGATGAGAGTACATGCATTGAAACAGATTCTGGTAAGAGTGCGAGTCACTTCAAGTTTAGTCCAAGCATGTCAAGTACACGTACATGTAGGTCTACATGTACATGAACTAGGACATGTACCAGAAGTAAGACTCATTGAGTCACCTCTTTTAACATTTGGACATGGTCGGTGACATTATAGGCAATTCGTATCATCATGATTATGGAGTCTAACATATAGATTACTCTTCTAACGGGGATTGCTTCTTTGGGGAACCTGTTCCAATAACGGAACAGAGATTTATATTTTGGACCCACCAATATACATGTACATGTATACAGGCAAATGGGGACATCATGTTGAATACATGTGGCTGCAGGGTTTGTGGAAAGAGGACTGGGTTTGGATTCTTGAACTTGGGCAAGTTTGCCTGAGGTAGAAATTGTCAGTAGTAATACACAACACATGAAGCTACCCACCGGACTGTGGGGTTCAACGTCGGACCCTACAGTGCTGGGGGGTAACATAAGGCATGGGAGGAAACGCTGTCATGACTGTATATGTACATGTAATTGACCAGTTAACAAAAATTTACAATTCTAAATTTGTAAAAAACAGGAAGAGCATAAACATGTAAAAAAATGGAGAAAACACTGCCTGGCCTGTGTTTGCACCCTTTTGGCATTCGAGATCCAGATCGGACCGACTACCTAACCTCAGAGCCGTCGTCCTCCACCACGCTCTCCCATGTGTAGGCTGGGGCCGAACGTTAGGCATTATGTGGGCCAGACAATGGTGGATGATGAATCCTAGCCTCGGCACTAGGGCTGTAGTGGCTCTCTTTTACAATCTATCTCTTCTATGTGGCGACAGATATAAGAGATAGTAAAAGAGAGCCTCGTACTACAGCCCTATGTGTAGGGCTAGATGAACCCCATCCCACCATGCCTTACCTGCTTACCACACCGGCTGATCACTGCTTTGAAAGAATATAACAGTGGTGAGTAGAGGGGTCCTAAAGTACACACTCCCCCTTATTTTACGATCAACTACCCTGTAGACCTAGCTTGTGGCCCTTTTTCATTTCTACGTACGTCAAATGTTGAAATTGAACATGGATTGAATGAATAAACATTACACACTGACTGTAGTGGTACATGAAGTACATGTATAACTAACGATATACCTGACTGGCGGTGGTATGGTGTGGTCCCCTTAACGGACAGATAAGTTAGGCGGTTCATGTTGTAGCTACCTGACTAAATAAATGTATATTCACGGCCCGCTCTACCAATGCAAAGTGCATACACCAGCCTCATACATGACATGTACACGTACACAATGCACTTTGACAGTACACATGTACTGTACAGTACTGTAGCACGTAGTCCCTGCTGTGGCTTCTGATCGGCGCCGGCCCCACAAATTACGGGACCATATCGATACATGTAAGCCATGCGCCAAGGGTACGTTAATTCCTTTGGGGCGACATGTAGGCCTATGGTACGGTATGGTATGATGGTACATGGTTGCTGTGGGCGTGAGCTAACCGCTAATTAACAGGTGGGTTTCCCGCTACCCTTTCTCCCCCGCGAATACGGTCTAACGCTAGTCCCGGACATCACTCGACACTATTTGCAATCCTTTTTATAGCTCCATGCTGTAACTATCTTACTACTCGTGGGAGCAGGGTGGATGTCAGACAATGGAGGAAGGAGGGGAGACGCAACAGTTCTGGGGGTAGGCCCTACAATGTAAATTTGTGCATCCAGCTAAATTTTGGCAACATTCCCAGCCGCAAGTCTCACCAGATACATTTTGGCCTAGCTATTACTGTAACTGGCCCCGGTGTAGAAAAACTATTCAAAACATGTCAAAAGCATTAGGCCACATACATGTATACTGTACATGTACAATGTAAAGCTGCTAGACTGGATGAGATACCTTGTAGTTGTATAGAAATGTGAATGCACAGGTACATGTACATGTAGGGTCACACCTGTACTGTTGAACCATGGTTGAACTTTCAAAGACTGACTGGGTGCTAATGTGACCCTGCCTTTTACGGTGCAGGTAATCTAGCAAATAATTATCGACTGGTTTTCCTCACTTGAATCACATGCAAACTGCTTGAACATATTATTTATCCTCACATCAAAAAGTTATATTGGCTTCCTCTATAAATATGCATCATAAAAATGTTTTATTATGTTAAACCTAGCTATTAAACCCAGGGCTGAGTAATCTTACTGGAACTGCAGACTCAAGAAGCCAAGCTACATGTAACTTCCTGTAGACTTCAGCAAGGCATTTGACACTGCCAAACAGTTGCCTGCTGTCCAAACTTCACAGACTGACAGAAACAACATCCTCACCTGGACTGAGATATGAAATATCATCTAGTTGCTCAGGATGGGCTGAAGGGGGACTTCACAATAGAAGCTAAAGTGACACCATTTGGCCCGCTGTTGTTTTTTATTCATGTACATGTACACATCAGTGAGTTACCAGATGGCATCAAGTCGAAAGTTAGGATATACCGATATACGTGACTGTAATTGGGTATAGAAAAGTCAATTACTGATCAGCTTTGAACGCAAGCAGATCAATACATTAGTCATTACAGTCTGGGAGAAACAATGGCAGATATGGTAAAAGCCTCAATAAGTCAAAATGTGATTCAGTGAGAGTTACTCACAAAAAGAAGACTCAGAAAACCCCGTACATCATGTACGGCAGATGTACTGGATAGATGACAGTCCCCTGTTCTACTTACAGGTACAATGTACCATGGTGTTGAAATTTCTAATGTTTTACATTTATCTGAAATGGGTCCTACACATTCAATTCAATTTAAATTTATTGTCCATGCTAAAAAAGCTAGAAATTCAACTTCTGTTGGCAGTTCTAAAAAGGGCTACATGTAAAGCATTAAAATACAATATGCACATCGCTAACCAATAATGACACAGTACAATAAAAGGACCTAAGTAAAGGAAACATTGCACAAAAAAGGTTAAAAACTTCACAGTAAAGAAACCAAATATAGCAGCATGGATAATTAATTACCTACATGCATGCACAGACATTTGAGACAAAAGAATTCCTTGTGTAACATCAATGGAACACAAAGACGTACATGTATACCAGATCTGTTGAATTTAAACAGCTCATCGAGTGGGTGTGAAAGATGGAGCCTTATCTTATGAACTTTCAGCAAGACACGCTGTTAACATTGTTACAGAGAAGTAATCAATGGTGAATTAGAGTGGATATAATGCGCTAATCCTTCTTGGCCTTCCTAATCTCTTGATATTTTCCTTTGTCAAGTTACTGAAGGTACAAATGGAACAAAAAGTTAGGATACTCTGAATAAAGGACTTATAAAAAGGATTTAACACCTGTTATCAACATGAAGTTCCTTCAGTTTCTTCAGGAAATAAAATCTTTGGTTTGTTTTGTGAGCGACAGTCCTATAGTTATTAGTCCATATTAGTTTATTATTAATCACAGTACCAGCTCAGTTCACTGCAACTGAAAGACCATTTCCTTTGTCTTACTGGTACATGTATAAATGATGTTGATCACACCAGTCCACAAGGTTGTTAACTCAGGTTATTAACATCGCTAGTGTACAGCCAAAACCGCAGGAAAAATAACACAACGTTGAGGTGCGCCCAATCTCAACCACTTAACACCAGAAACCCTGTCATTGCACTTCACCCTTTTGTGAACTGTTAGTAAGAAAACTCTGTAAAGGCATTGCAAGCTGTGGTGTAACATTCAATTTAAGCAATTTACTGATCAAAATACATATACACGGAACAAGTGTATTGAAAGCACTTAAAAAATCAATAAAAAGTCAACGAACAAATTTACTTCGGCCTACATGTACATGTACAGTATCTACATGTGGATGGATATATACAGCTTATGGAGATAAAAAGCAACGGCATCCTCAACACCCCTTTTTTTCTGATATGCAATCTGAGATGAATCAAATTACTAACTGGATTCAGCATTTTAGTCAACGGCTTTAGTGCTGTGCATGAATTCACTCAGTGAATAGACTGAAGTTGGAGCTACATGTAGGCCATTGCATTTAATATATCCTAAAATGGCTGCACGCTCACCTGATCACTTCAATTCACAAATTAGGCAGTTACTGCTGAGCTTGCCTATCCAGTGTATAGAGATCAGTGGTCTGAGGTGACGGGGATCCAAGTTGGCATGGGTAATTGGTGTGCATACGTGTACTATAGTTATGTACTGTATACATGTATGTACATGTAGGTCTGTACTGGCATGGGTCTGGGTTGGTTATTCCTTGTCCATGTGACCGGATTCATTCCTGGTTACATGTACAGTTGAATAGAAGTGCTGCACTTGCAACTTCTGCTGTTTCCTTTTTATTACAGTGAATTAGCCACCATGGTAACATCTAGGCAGCATACATGTGGCTTTAGAATTACTGCACTCTGTGTGCCAGTTTTGATCACACTTCTCATCAGCCAATCTGTGCAATTTGCATCAGCTGGTCCCAATGCTACTTCGACCGTAATTACGCATGGCACAACAGGTGATGCACACAGTGACAACAGCAGTGATGAACATGAGGGTGGGGAGTCAGAACCTCACACTGGACATGGGGGCGTTCATGTTGCTTCCTGGAACTTGGAGTATGTAAAGTTGCCTCTGACAGTAACTGGCTTTGCCTTATTTGTGGGCGTGGCCAAAATAGGTAAGAAATAAGGATTGAAACATTAACTGTAAAATGCATGTTTCTGTGTCATTATACTAGTCTACAAGTGTGTTTTGTCACAAAAACAGACTATTCTGGGCTATTGGCTGAAAAGAGCTTTACTGGCATCTTTTTCTTTAGAAGAACACTGTACCATGCAACGTATCTATACCACAGTGCATCGCTAATTTTGCAAACACGAGGTGGGTCCACATAGACTGATCATTGTACAAGTAGCAGTTGTTACAGGGAATTTCAGTCACCGAATATCGGATGCCAGGGCCGTTCCCGGCTCCGACCTATTCAAAAATGGGATGGCCTGTCTCACAAAAGATTCTAGACATGTACATGTACTGAAAGGTACATGTACACACGTGAGGGTTTTAGGCCAGCATTTCCAGTGCAAACAGCAATCTATAAAATCACAAAGAGATTCTTAGTGGAGATATAAGTGGATGGCCGGTATCCCCAGCCACACATCCTTGTATGCATGTAAAGCACATACCGTAAATGTGTACTTTCTACAGTTTATCAGCTAAAACATGCAGTGTTACATTGGAGAAAATCACACATTAAAACCCTCCTACTCAAAGATACGTTCTTGACACAGTTGTTATATCGGTCAAATTTCCCATATGGGTCCATGTACTGGGGCAAATCAAGTGGAAAGAATTTTTGGGGTATTTTTGGCAGTTACAGCAGAAAGAGGGTTAATTGTCCCCTTTCCATGTGTTTATGCAGTAGTAACATTAGTGGTCACAAATTCCAGTTAATATACATAAATTATTCAAACTTTAAGTGCAGGTCATGTACACACACAGTGTACATATACTGTACATGCACATGTACACATACACATACATGTACATGTACTACATGCAGTGCAAGGGTTATTGGGATTTCTTACATGCTCAATGTTTTCCTGACAGGTTTTCATCATGCTGACTTCCTATCTGCAATTTTCCCTGAGTCTGTGCTTCTCATTGTGATGGGGGTCATCTTTGGAGGCATTGCTTTGTGAGTACTTATTCATCAACTGCAGATGTCCAAATCTACGTCTGACATTGTTTAAGTCATTTTCTTAGAATGTACATGTATGCATTCACCAACTGTTCCTGGATTCTTCAAAATCTACCAGTTATTGTAGCTTAGAGGAATTACATGCAATGTCCATCTGCATGTAGGATTCTGGAATACTGAGCTACATGTACATATACATGTACATGTATGTACATTGTAATACTGTACATGTGTATGCACATGTACTGTGCTTACATGTACATATACCAGAACATTATGTTGTCTTTAAAGACTTAATAACTTTAATAGAACTACTTTAAAGAAAGTAAAAGAAAGCCAGAAATACATGTACATGACGTTGAAAGTACCTGTACAGTATTTTTTTAATTAAAAACGGAATTGCTGTGGAAAGGGAAAAAAATTTCAAGAAATGGATGGGGAACCAATGCTTGCAATGCGTGGTGTTGCATGTTGAGATGAAGACAGGTACCGATATGTTGACAAGTTTACAAACATGCATTCTGGTCATCATACGTGTTCTTGTTTTGTTTTTTATTCTTTCATCAGTGGGCAAGTTCTATCAAGAACCACTAGTTAACTAGTGGATGGTTCTTGACGTACGCAGTGCATGTGCAGTGAAATTGAAGTATAAACGACCATAGTCAACCGTTGTCAGGTCATTAGACCGAAGGGAAAAAAGATGACCGCAGAAAGGGCAAATAAGCAAAAATAAAAGTGAAAATGGTTGTTTACTAGTGACATACTGTTTTTCCGGCATGTTTCTTATACATGTAACTGGTCCTCTCTGCACTGTGCTACATGTATTACAAACAGTTTAAGGCATCCAACGACGCGACCAACCTTGGTAGGCTGGTCATGAATAGTTGACTAGTCTAGTCCAATCGTTGTCGACTTACGTGAGCTCGATGAGAGATTGTCGAACTGTGGTTAACTGTAACGGTCCTTGATCTAACTTACCCAGTGATGTCCTATAAACAAATTATGACCTTTGCATTCGACATTATGTGGTTAATATACATGTAATGACAAACCTGACTTTCTGGTTTTGAGTCTGCTTGTATTGTTCACTAAAGGGAAATGTCAAAAACCAGTTGATCACAGTAGTTCTCGCTTATGTATTATATGTTTTAAAAGTTTGAATTATTTATGTACACGTATCTTTCTTCAAATCCCTGTAGTTGGCAGTTCACCGCTGTTTGTGATTTTTGATAATGTTATTTTTTGTTAACCTACAGTGCCACAGGAAATACAGGGAGCTTACAATCTGAGACATTCTTTCTATATCTACTGCCTCCGTAAGTTACAATATGATTGTTTGCAAGAACAAACCTACATGTACAGGTACAAGTATTTGTTGTTTTGGCATGTTTGGTTTTGTACATGTACTCATTTGCCTCAAACTTTCAATCTTTATTAAGTATTCTTGGAAATAGTACATGTTTATATCGATATTCAAAGTTAGTGTTAAGATTTTTACGCATTAGTCACAGGTGCACACTGCTACATGTACATTGTACATGTATGTGTATAAACATGTACATGTAGGTTGAATTATACCCTATCATAACTTAAACAGTGCATATTGAAAAGAGGTTCTTTTGTTATAGTACACATATATTTCCATCTAAAGAAGTTACTAATGTTGATTCATACATGTGCATGTACCGGTAGTTTATAGGCTCGTATGCATTTGGCAGTCAGGACTTCACATTTACCTGTTAGCAATCTGTCAACTGAGGTTATACCGGCTCATGTACCATACCGTAGTTCTTCTGATAGCAATATTTCAACTTCATATATTTCCATGTGAGTAGTGCTCCTTCAGACTTTCATAGAGTGACACAAATAGTTGCAGTCTCATCTGCTTTTAACAAATTTTACTTTGCATTTGTTTAGGATCATTTTGGAGGCATCCTACTCCCTGCATGACCGTACCTTCCTGGATAACCTGATATCTATCTTGATGTATGCTGTTGTGGTAGGTTCTAATAATGCAAAGTTTGGCTATCAACTTAACCCTCAAAGAGCTGCAGGGGAGGCATAGTTCATTGTTTTTTAAGTTGAGCCTTAAACTGTTCATAGAGTTACTCTTTGCGGTCATGTTGACGTGATATTTGCAAAACTCAGACATACAGTTCTTGCACAGCGTGCATTTTTCTACGACAGGTCAGCCAGAACTTTATACTTTCTCTGTTGCGGTGCTGAATGCACGCATTACAACAAAACCATATTTCAGATTGAGTTCAAACTGCACATTTGTAATGATAAGGAGTGTCTGTATGTGTACTTGTATGCATGCTAACTGGCTGTGAACCTGGCTTTTCGAGGGTTAAAACAGAATGGAGGAAGTTTTGATTGTTAGGTTTGGCACAGATATTCTGCAGTGGCAAAATTTCTCTGAGGTCGATCAGACCAGGATCTCTGGACATCAGTGTATTTTTACAGTACTTGAAAATTTAAACCAAGGAATCCAGAAATTTGCATATGGCTATGGGGATATACAAAGTAAAAGATGTACCCCAGGATACTCCAAGTCATTTCTCCCTAAAGGAGTGTGTTAGATGTTTACTGGGAGCAGTTTTGGGAATAGTTATCGCATTGACTCATGAGGATACATGTACATCAGGTTTGTTGTCTCTTACAATAGATATCAGTGAATACTGAAAACAATTACAGTCTCAGTAATTACGTGAAGATGTGATTTTTATTCAGGTTCAGGATAATTTATTCAATACCACTGTACTGCCCCTGGCCTCTCACTGTTGTGTGATGTAGATTTGAAATAAGAAAAGAAATGATTGGTTGCACAATGTAGGAAGTAACATGTAATCTTGGATGAGCTGCTTATCGATATTTGCCGTGTTGTTTTCTTTCTGATAGGGAACCTTAATCAACACATTCCTTATTGGTAAGTGAAAACAACTGACTTTACTGTTGTATACAGTATGTAAAACCATTTCTGACATGGTCCATTAAACCATTTTGTGCTCCGTCATGTGTGATAGAAATGTGGAGTTCTGCCAGTCCATTGAACTTCTTTGAATATCTTTTATGACATTCTACAGGGTTCGAACCCTACTACAATCACTATGCTGCTCATGTTCTTTGGTTGCCTGGTTTCACTCATGAGTAGAAATAGGAAGCAGGAAGAGACTGATCTTGAGCTGCTGCAGAGTTGATCGCATAGCCCAGTGAGCAGGGATTAAAAAGTGCTTTCATTGAGACTTTATAAACTGAGTGCTGTATACATGTACATGTATATAGACTAATCCAATTAGATGCCATAATTTCTGTGGCAATGTCTTCACACGTATCTTCTTCAGTTTGACATGCATGTGCATTTGGCAAATCATGACGCCCTATTGGTGGAGAGGCATGTAATGCATGTACATATGAAGAGGCATGTTACATGTGTGCGTATCCCCCTGTCCACCAGCATTGTACCATCACAAGCTTCTTTAATTCTTGTTGGATGACACTAAGGCACTGATGATAAGTGTTATCCCTGCAGGACTGACATTGTATGGCATCTCACTGACTGGTGCCTATGGTGATAGTTTTACCATCAACCTCATTGAGTGTCTTGTCTTCAGCTCCCTCATCTCGGCTGTTGACCCAGTTGCTGTCTTGGCGATCTTCCAAGAAATCCACGTCAACCATGTGTTATATTTCTTGGTGTTTGGGGAGTCCTTGCTGAACGGTGAGTCAAGGAAACAGCTGGCAAATTCATATTTGAAGGTCAACATGAAAAAACACCTGCATTTTGCATATGACAAAATTGGAGGTTGCTACATGTACATGTACCAGTAACATTGTGTTATTGTTAAATGGTTGGTTTACAACTTGTACATGTACTGTAGTTGTACCGGTAGGCTTATTAAGTGCAACATTTTCCTAGATGAAGTAAAAATTGAATGTTCCATGGACCCCCATGGGAGGTTGGTGTAACTTCAACTGTTTTATAAAAGAAATCTGTAAATTTATAACCATATAACCCAAGATACATGTATACATGTACCGGTAGGTACTGTAAATTTAGATTTCTACTGTACAATTTCAGCAAAGTTTGAGAAAATCTGTGAGATTGATCCCCAGAAGTGTTCAATTTGACATGGAATATTAACCAACCTGTAGATTAAAAGTTGACTTGAATTGGTGGAATGTTACTGCATGGTGTTCCTAAGACATCCTTTCATCAGAATGTTTCAGATTTGATATCCCTTGACTGCCTGCATTCCCGAGCTTCATGTAGCTTATTTGTTAATGCATGGTTTGTTTGTTTGTTTGTTTGTTTTGGTGTTTGGGATTGCTTGTAGATGCCGTGACTGTTGTGCTTTACAATATGATGAACAGCTTATTAAGCCTTGATAGCATACCCGCTAGCCAGGTAATGGTACTTATCTACATGTAGGTCAGTGGTAGAATGACAGCCAAATGCAATTGTAAAGGAACTCAATTAACT